TTATTTTAATTTTTTATTTATTTATCTTAGAGAGAGAGCAAGAGTGTGGGCATGAGGTGGGGAGAGAGGTGGAGGGAGAGAATCTCAAGGAGGCTCCATACTCATCGTGGAGCCTGACATGGGTCTTGATCCCACAACCCTGGGATTGTGACCTAAGCCAAAATCAAGAGTCAGACCCTCAACCTACTGAGCCACCCAGTATGCACTCAGTGCCATAAATTTCCTTCCAAGTACTGCTTTCATTTCATCTCACGAATTTTGGTAAGTTTTGTTTCATTTTCATTTAGTTAAAAATATTTATAAATTTCTCTTGAGAGTTTTTCTTGATCCATGTACTATTAGAAATGATTTGTTTAATCTCCACGTATTTTGGGATTCTCCAGTTATCTTTCCATTAGATTTTTAGTTTAATTCAATTGTGAACTGAGAGAAGACATTGTATGACTTTTTGTTTTTTGAGTTTGTTAAGCTGGTTTATGGCCCAGGATGTGGGCTTGAGAAAAATGTGCATTCTGTTGTTATTGGATGAAGTGGTCTGCAGATGTCAGTTATATCCAGTTGATTGATGGTGTTGTCAGATTTGACATATCCTTACTGATTTTCTGCCTGCTGATGTTCAGTCTTTGTTTTCTTTGCTTTTCAGTTCCGGAGGTTTCTGTTGAGAGATCTTCAGGCTCAGTGTTTCTTTCCTCAGCCACGTCCAGTCTACTAAAAAGCCCATCAAAGGTATTCTTCATTTTTGTTACAGTTTTGTTTTATTTTTTAATCTGTCAGTTCTTTTTGGTTCCTCCTTAGGATTTCAATCTCTCTGTTTACATTGCCCATCTCGCATGCCGTCTACTTTATCCATTACAGCCTTTAGCAAATTAATCCCGGTTGTTTCAAATTCTCAGTCTGACAATCCGAGCATGCCTGCCATGTGTGGTTCTGATGCTCACTCTGTCTCTTCAAATTATGTTTTTTTTTGCCTTTTGGTATGCCTTGTAAATTTTTGTTGTTGTTGTTAGCTGCAAATGACGTACTGGGTAAAGGAACTGCTGTAAAGTAGGCCTGTAAGTAATGTGGTGATAAGGTGTGGGGAAGGGCAAGTATTCTGTGCTGGGTCTCAGTCTTTTAGTGAGCCTTTGGCCCTAGACTGAATTTCACAAGTGTTTCTTGGGGCTTTTTTCCTCCTCTCTTAGGTGGGACAGGATGGCTGGAGTGGGCTGGAGTTGATATTTTCTTTCCCCTAGCTCAGACTGACTTTGATATTACCCCACAGATTAGGCTGTGGTTAACTAGTTTCTCCTGAGGGCAGGCCTTGTTAAGAATAGAGTGCCCTGGAGTATTTCAGTATGGCTCCTTTTTCCTTCCCCTTCTGGAAGCCTGAGGGGATTTTCAGCCTATATTCCATGAGAACTTGATCAGGCTCCCGGAGGTCAAACTCACCAAAATGTGCCTCACCCCAGTGACTGGGTCCTCCTGGAGTTTTAAACTCTCGGATTGTCCACACTGAGCCTCCAGCAATTTGTCAATTACAATTGAGTTTTTCCCTCTCTGGCACTGGTTCCTGTTATGCCCAGAATTCATGATCCCCAAAGACCACCAGGGAGCCAAGTCCGATGCAAAAGCAGAGCCTTTATTCGAGCTAGCTCAAGCTCAATCCCCTACCTGCACCAACACAGCGGTGAGATGCCGGGGAGAGAGAGCAAGTTTCTTTTTTTTTTTTTTTTTTTCCCCAACGTTTATTTTTATTTTTGGGACAGAGAGAGACAGAGAGAGACAGAGCATGAACGGGGGAGGGGCAGAGAGAGAGGGAGACACAGAATCGGAAACAGGCTCCAGGCTCCGAGCCATCAGCCCAGAGCCTGACACGGGGCTCGAACTCACGGACCGCGAGATCGTGACCTGGCTGAAGTCGGACGCTTAACCGACTGCGCCACCCAGGCGCCCCGAGAGAGCAAGTTTCAAAAGCACAAAGATTTTATAGGGGTCTAGGGATAGTTGGTGAGGTAATGGCAGTGGCCTCAGCCGATTGGCTGGGGAAGGGTCGGAGTCCTGTTACGCAGGTTGCCAGTCGTGTTTTGATCGGGAAGTTTGAACGGGTGAGCGGGAGGTTACTCAAGGGGAGGAGGCGTGGTCTGAGGTTTCTGCGATTTTCCCGGAAAGGGGGCATGTCGGGGACTTAGTCACTCAAGGTGGAGGACACAGAACAAGATGGAGTCGGCCAGCGTAGGTCCGCTCTTTCAGTTCCTTGGCAGTTTCTCCTCCTAAATTTCTGCTCCAGTAATCAAGTAATCTTTGTATTTGACTATCTGTCAGTCTTGGGGGCAGTGGTTTACTCTGTGCCCCTACCTCCCTTAGGAATCCAGTTATTGATTTGCAATCTGTTCAGCTTTTTACTTGTTAGGATGGAGTGGTGACTTCCAAGTTCCTAACATGTGAACTGGAAACTGGAAGTCCAACCCAGCTGCTTTTCGAGTTCTGGTATTAACCTTTAAAAAAATTTTTTTTAAATATTTCGTTATCTTTGAGAGACAGAGAGAGACAGAGCATGAGCAGAGCAGAGAGAGAGGGAGACACAGATTCCGAAGCAGGCTGCAGGCTCTGAGTTGTCAGCACAGAGCCCAACGTGAGATCACGACCTGAGCCAAAGTCAGACGCTTAACCAACTGAGCCACCCAGGCACCCCCAGTATTAACTTCTTATTTTCACATAACTTCAGACTTACAATTGTAGTTTCAATCTTGCAATTCTTTCATCTTTCCTTATCTTCATGACTTTGATCAATTTTTAATGAAAATAATCCAGTTCTTTTATAGAATGTTCCTCAATTTGTGTTGTCTAATGTTTCCTCATGATTGGATTCTGGTTGTACATTTTTGGCAGGAATAGCACTGAAATGATGTTGTGTTCTTTTCAGTGCATCATATCAGGAGACAGATGATATCAGTTGGATTTCATTACTTGGTTCAGGTGGTGTCTAACACTATAAAGGTACTATTTTTCTGTTTTTTGTTTTTGTTTTTTGTTTTTGTTTTTTGGAGGAGATATGTTAATACTGGGCAATTATTTGTCCCCACCAAACTTTCTTGTGTTAGTAACCATTGATGATTCTTGCTTGAATTACTTATAAATTTCAATGGTTTCCAAATGATGACTTTCTAATTCCATCATTCCTTATACTTTTATTAGTTTTCATTTTGCTGTAAGGAGAAATTTTCCTTTTGCTCATTTATATCGTTATGGATTCATGGATTCTTACTTTATTCTATGGGTTCTCATCTGTTACTATTATTTATTTTGATGCTTTAGTTGCCCCATACATGGGTGAAAGAACTCCTTCAATCTGACTTCTGTGTCCAGTATCATCTTTTTATTTTTAAGTTTATTTATTTTTGAGAAAGAGAGCACGCAAACGAGGGGGGGGGGCAGAGAGAGAGACGGAGACATAGAATCTGAAGCAGGCTCCAGGCTCTGAGCTCAGATCCTGACACAGGGCTTGACCCCACGAATGGTGAGATCATCACCTGAGCTGAAGTCAGCTGCTTAACCAACTGAGCCACCCAGGCACCCCTCATCTTTTTATTTTTAATTTTTACATGTCAATACATACTTTTCTCGATTATTGAAGCAATACTTTTTTTAGACATTTTAATAAAATAAAATCAGAGAGAAAGATATAAAAATATCTTATTGTCTTCTACACATTGGCATATTTTCTTTCAGCCTTTGCTTTCATTATGCTTTTAAAGGTAGTAGAGCTAGAACTATAGATACAGATTTGCGTCTCAGTTTTGGTTTTTAACCTGTCATTGAATTATAAGCATTTCCTGACCTAGTAAGAACTCTTTCCAAACAGTATGTCTCACAACTGATTGTTCTTGTGACCCAGATGCGCTAGTGCTGCCCTGAGACCTACCTGTTGCCTCTGCTTTTGGATGGCATGCTCCTTCCCCTCCTGAAAGAAAAATCCAGTTCCCTCTCTCTTCCCCTCCCTTTTTTCCTTTTATTTTTCAGCAACACTCCTTGCCCATTCTCTTGTAGAGCATTTGAGGAGTCAGCAGCAGGTCAGAGTGGCAGAAGTGCAGAGAGGAGAGTGTCCCCAGATGTGAGGTAGAGCACCGTCCTCTTGCTGGGGAAAGAGCAGTCAGTGGGGAGTTGCGGGGGGCGGAGATAGACAAAAACGAGATGAACAGTCAATAGCTAATCGCATCAGGAGGTGAAAAATGCTATGAAGAAAAATAAAAGGGGGTAGGATGGAGAGAGTAGTGGGGATGGGTAGCTGCTATTTTAAATAGGTGGATAGGGAAGACCTCTCTGGTGAGGTGATATTTGAGCAGAGACCTGAGTGTTCTACAGATGAGAAAGCCCAGAGAGTTAAAGGAACCTTCCTAAGGTTATAAGCAAGATGTATTAAATTCATTTCTTTATTTTTTCAGTTTTTTAATTTATGTAATCTCTACACCCAGCATGGGGCTTGAACTTGTAACCCTGAGATCAAGAGTCACACGCTCTTCTGACTGAGCCAGCCAGGCACCCTGAAGTTTGTTTCATTGATTCAAAAACCCACTATAAATGGTACTTCTCTCCATAGGGAGTATACCTCAATGTTTTTAGAAGCCCTTTGAGTGCGATTCCCAACTGTTAGCTTGGCTATCTCTACCCTTCTCCCTTGTACTGAAATATTTCTAAGAGGTAAAACTTATATAGAGATTTTTATATGTTTTGACTCTCAAATCTAAATGTAGGTTTTGGTGTCTTTAAGGTCTGTTCAGGAAGGTGAACACCCCATTGAAAAAGCTGGAGCTGCTCCAGGGAGTCTGCCTAGAATGAAGATAGAGGCCCAGGATTCCACATCTTTACTGGCAAAAGCCATCTCTACTGAGACAGAACTTTCTGAGAGTGCCCAAGAAAGACAATCTTGGGAAGATAAGGGCATGGCTCCCTGGCCTGCGATGGTCCGGCTTTCAGAGTCCCAGGCTTTGGAGGCCCAGGTGGCAAAGGCTTAGGCCTGGGAGATGCAGGCTTGTGAGGCCAAGTACAGAGCTAGCCAGTCCAGGCACATCTCTGCATTGGAAGTGGCAGCTACCGGGGCACCTGGGTGGCTCAGTCGGTTGAGCGTCTGACTTTGGTTCAGGTCAAGATCTTGCAGTTCATGAGTTCAAGCCCCGCGTCAGGTTCTGTGCTGACAGCTCAGAGCCTGGAGCCTGCTTCGGATTCTTTGTCTCTCTCTCTCT